TTATTTCCTTATATATGTAAACTCAGTTAATTATAATTCATTAATATACAAATTGAATGAAGGAAACTGAAGAGGAAACACAGAAGTAGAAATATCTATCGAAAGTGCAAGTTCCTTCGATGGCTGCAACAGAGGTAATAAGCTAATATTCTCATTTTGAAACTGATTGGAAACAATTTCACTGAGGAAAGTCTAAAACTCAGTCTGTAAATTGTTTCAGCTAAAATCTATACAGTCCTGTTGATAGAGGTTGTTCAAGATTTTCATGACATGCATCCTAACTAGGGTAGCAGATTTTCATGGCATTACATGACTTGGTTATTCTGTTTTATGCTTTCAGGAATAAATAGGTATGAAAGAAAGGAGAATCTGTGAAAGATTGATTTGTAAACTCAAGTAGCCTCTTCACTATTCATATACCTATAAGCTCAGGCAAGCTCTCAAAGAATCTGTAATAGATCTTATTAATAGTCTAATTGTGTCCTAGGATTGCATTAATACTTGTCTCACAATCAAAAAACAAGTGTAAGGGACCTATCACTAAACCTTGTAAAATAAGATTAACAGGAATTCAGGGAGGGGAACAGAGCAAATAGCTGCTGTTCAAGACCACAACAAAGACTAACTTCACTGCCGTTATGGGTTGATGGAATATTGGTTGCAACCTTCCTTCACTTATCTAATTTATACTATATTCTTTTTCAGTAACAACAGCAGAACAATCCTATCTGAATATTAAGAGCACTCTACTTGGGGGGGGGCGGATGTGATTTCGTCTCCAAACATCTCATTTGACAGTTTAACCCTTTGTAAATAAGTTATAGACTTTATTTAGTTTTTAAAACATTCACCCACCTGCTACTCTGCTTTATGAATTGACAGGCAGTAAATGAATTTTACGGTTTTTGGCTCTGATTATTTAAGGTAAGTTCCTGCTGACACTATTTGCTTTTTGTTTCTTGAAAGTAGCAGAGCTGCAATTAATTTCTGGAAGCTCAACGGAAAAAGAAACCAACATTTTACTATCAGAAACACCTGAAATAAAAGTACAAGTCACACCACTATCAGCTGTTCTTATCATAAAAGAGTATTTGTAAGTTATTTTATGCCCTCTTGAAATATGAAGGAGAGAGAACATTTATATATAGTGACAGGTTATGGCCAATGTACTGTCACCATTGCCCTGCTTTGTCACACTTGTGGGGAATGTAAAGCAACAACTTTTGCACATGCTAAACTGTAGCTTTGTCTTTAGACTAAGATTTCCAAAGGAACCTAAGGGAGTTAGACACCCCATTCCCATTCACTTTCCATGCTAGCAGCTAATAAGGCAAAATCAGTGAAAACAAACAAGGCCCCTCCAGTGATATGGGTGGCATTTAGTGAGATAAGTTTACAGTTCAAAAGCAGAGCCTACTGTCACATGTGCATTGATGTGGTTTTATACGAAGTAATCTGATGGCTACCTGGGTTCGGGAACATTCTGTATCTGTGTTGGCTTTCAAAAGTAAGAAGGTTAAATTGCATTGAATGCTTCTTTTAGGATTTATAGGGGACTAGACATTACTGCTGGTGTGGGAGAGAACTATCTTCCTTCCATGTTGCATATAAGCATGTTACCTCCCTTTAGGCTTGACCACCTGCAGTCTGCAGCTGTTGGACTCTAAAGGCTGGTCTACACTGGGGGCGAAGAGGGGGATCGATCTAAGATACGCAACTTCAGCTATGTGAACAGCGTAGCTGAAGTCGAAGTATCTTAGATCAATTTACCTTGGGTCCTCACGGCGTGGGATCGATGGCCACGGCTCCCCCATTGACTCCGCTACCGCTGCTCGCTCCGGTGGAGTTCTGGAGTTGACGGGGAGTGCGTTCGGGGATTGATATATCGCGTCTTAACGAGACGCGATATATCAATCCCCGATAAATCGATCGCTACCCGCCAATACGGCGGGTAGTCTGGACGTACCCTAAAATGAAGGAGCTTTCTTTGCTAAGGGGATGTCATAAACTAGCTTGTGTACTTCTGCCCTCTACTGGAATATAGAAAACTTACTTGTACATTCTTCTGTTTGCTGAGTTTGCACCTTCATTTGAGCTGGACCTGTTATTTTGGAGCCAGTGCATCCTTGCAATATTTTTTTCTCTTGGCATGAGATGACAGAAGGAGAGAAAGACAGAAGCAGGAAGGAAGGAGGGGTAGTCCAGTCTAGTGATTAAAGATAACTGGAAAACAAGAGACCTTGTTTCTGTTCCCCGCACTACTCTCTTGCTGTATAACCTTGGGCAAGTCCCTTAAGTTTCCTGTCCCCCAGTTTCTCTTTCTGTAAAACTGAGATAATACTGTTACCCCCTTTGTAAAATGCACTGGAATCCTTGAATGAAGTGCAATAAGGCTGCATGTACTCCACTACTCCATGTAGAAAGAATTTGCTGCAGAGCTCACCTGTTGGTGCAGAACTGTGCTGCAGAATTTTAACTTTCATTTAAAAAAAATTAAGCCTCTAGATTTTATGGGTTTGAAGAAAACAACCTTCCAAGTGTAACTGATGCAGTGACATCTGCAGCCAGCCTGAAACAATAACTCTGGAGTGTTAACTTTGAAATCTAATAGTGCAAATTCTAATGTCAACTACTTCACTACTGATCATTTAAATAGCCATCTAATGGGCTCATCCTGCAAATTCAAGCCATTCCCCACGCTTCACCACGTGCCAAAAACCCAGCTGTCCCCAGCCACATTAACAACTTCAGTTTCTCCCTGATAGAAGCTGGCTGAGGGGGACTCTTCAGTGGCAAAGAGCCAACATAACAGCTCTGTGCCCGCACTCAGTGCTGGGGGAATACTCAGGGGAAGGTGGTACAGTGAGAGCGAAGCAGTGCTCGGACTATGCCTGACTGCCAGAATGAGGCCATAGACAGCCAGACTCAAGTTAGAGCAGCCTCTCATTAATCCTTTCTCTGTAATTTACACTTCCATGTACCAATTAGGCGCGTAGAACTCTGTGGCAGAATCACCCTGAGGGACTGCAGGGCATTGCTACTCCCTCTCAAGTTTTCCAGCAGGGTGATGATGGGAGCAGCTCTCTCCCTTCAGAACTCTACATGCTGTGTCAGCAGGAGCCTTTGAGGTAAGGAGCTGAAACTGCAGAATTCTTGGCCACATTCCCTCCTTGGTCAGCACCATCCAGTTTTGGGGCAGTATTAGTTCTCCCAGGGCTGCATCAGAGATGCTGCCACTTTGTGCCATGGCAGCCTGAAGACTCTCTGCTGCTGGGATCTTCCTTTCTAACCCCTGATGCTAATCTAGCCCTAAGGCTGAAATTCACTAACGGTGCTTAGAGTAATCAGACTGTGTCTGGAACTTCATGAGAGTTGATATATACCCCTTCAACTCATGGATAACACATGGCAATGAAGCACAGCCTAAAATAGCAACCACTATCCTCCTTTAAAAAGGGGATTACAAAGTGCTAGTACCCCTGTCACATGAAGATAACAGTAATCATAAATCAGCAGATTATGACACGGATATAAATGTGTGTCAGGTGCCTGGGCCCAGGAAACACTGTTTAGTCTTTTACCATCACTCCTGTGTTTTATGCCTTATTATAACACCCAACAGTTGCCTCAGCTTAGAATCTTTTAACCTGGAAAAAAAATACAATGAGAAAATTAGTGATCCTCATCTCCAGGAAAGTTGGAAACAATGAACAAAGTGGCCTCAGCCCACTTCCTATTTGGACAGCAGTTTGCATCATAAGAACCACCATCATACTTGGCAACCTTAGGAGTTTTAGCAGCAAGGAGACTGAACGAGACAGTTATCTGTCAGGGTGTTCCCTCCAGGACAGATTAGAAAGAACATTTGCTGAAAAGCTTTCTCAGCCACTGCCTGTGCTTAGCTTGACTTCGATGGATAAACGGAAGAGGTTAGTCTCCAGGGCTGTTAACCCAGAATCTTTCACAAGCACAACATTCATTATTTTTATATGACATTTTTACCAACTCTGGAAATTCACACATTGATCTTCAATGTTAGGAGATGTTAATGTTAGTAGAATTTTCCCATTTTAACAATTAACTTTTTAGTCATTTAAAACAAAATTGAGAAGTGCAACATTCCCAGACTACTCAGCAATCCTAGAAATTGTTATACACATCACAACATGAAAAAACAGATTTTATGACCATTTCTTCAATCTACTTTACTGCATTCCACACTAAAGCCCGCTCCCATCAGAGTAAATGGCAAATTCCCATTAAACTCTGGCTTAGCTAGCATTTTAATAATACTCAGCAGTTACTGTCCATTGCACATTGCATCTGCAAAGTGCTTTACAAACATAAACTCTGACTAATTATAGGCTGAAGGTTTATTAAAATGGTAGAAATCCTGGCCCTGGCTTTTTACTTTGAAGATCCAGTGTTTGCTCCAACCTCTCTATTGGGGGGGGAAGGGGGGGGGGAAGAGGGGGAATAGGGCAGTCCTAGAAAGATCCCTTAAAGCAGTTCATTTAGCTGCAAGCCTGGAGCTTTCGGTGAGGAAGAGGGGCAAAGGGGCCACTTGTACCCCCCCAAAAAGGATCTTCAAGGGACCCCAAACTATTGTCAGAAAGGCCAAAACATGCACAGTCTTTATCCTTTATAGACAGTATTTTGTTGTGCTTTATAATGACACTAGCCAAAAAAAAAAAAAAAATCCAAGATTCCCCCGAGGTCTAACTAACCCCTGGATGGTTATTTTGTTTTTCAGCTAGCGACCCACTTCCCCCACTGCCAGTAAGGGGAGCCTGGAACCGGCACCGTTTGGCATACAAGGAAAGCTTCCCTCAAGCTACCGACTCGGCTTGTTTTTGAATGCAGTGGCCTTGCTGGAGGCAAGTGGTTGGGAAGCTGAGCGCGCTGCCCGGAGTACCTGCACGCCGGGGGCGAGGGGAAAGGTACCGCTGATCACTCCCGCCTCAGCGGGGAGGGAGGAAGCCGTCACGTGGTGGGGGAGGAAAACCCGGCAGCCTGGGGAGGGCAGTAGCAGAGCGCGAGGAGGTGACACGGCAGGAGGAGCTGGAGCGCTGAGGTTGGCAGTTTCCCTGGTTCCTCCTGGCGGATTACACGGCGGGGGGAAGCAAATGCACCGAGGAGGCGAGGTGGGCGCTGAGCAGTCGCCTCTGCAGCTGAAGGCTCAAAGCAGCCTCTCTCCAGGGGGAGACTTTGCACCAGTTTAGCCGCACGTCCGGCACAGGAGGCAGACAGGCGGGGTGCGCTGTTTGGAGACGGGGGTGACTAGCTGGGGGAGAGGAATCCTTTCCAGCCATGCTCAGGCTGGGCTCCAGGGCGACGCAGACAGGACCTTGGCTCCCTACCCTACCGTGAAGGCTCCTATGGGGGATTTCCCGTCTGCTGGGAGGCGCAGCCCGGTGGCCAGGTGGCCCCAGCCCCGATGGAGCCGGAGGAGAGGAAGATCTCGGTGTGGCTCTGCCAGGAGGAGAAGTTGATCTCTGGCCTCTCCAGACGCACCACTTGCTCCGACGTGGTGCGGGTGGTGCTGGAGGACAACAGCCAGCGGCAGCAGCTGCCCACCCTGCAGGATTCCGGCGCGGGGATGCTCTCGGGACCCCCCGAGTCCTACTGCATCGTGGAGAAGTGGAGGGGCTTCGAGAGGATCCTGCCCAACAAGACCAAGATCCTGAGGCTCTGGGCTGCCTGGGGGGACGAGCAGGAGAACGTCCGATTCGTGCTGGTCCGCAGCGAGGCGTCCCTGCCCAACACGGGGCCCCGCAGCGCCGAGGCCAGGGTGGTGCTGAGCAAGGAGCGCCCCTGCCATGGCCTCGGGGCGGCCCGGGCCAGCCTGGCGCTCACGCAGGAGAAGCAGCGCCGGGTGGTGAGAAAAGCCTTCCGGAAACTGGCCAAGATCAACAAGAAGCGGCAGCAGCCGCTGGCCAAGGAGGCGTCCTCGGCGGAGAGGATGGAGACCCTGGTGCACCTGGTGCTGTCGCAGGACCACACCATCCGCCAGCAGATCCAGCGGCTCCGGGAGCTGGACCGGGAGATCGACAGGTACGAGGCTAAGATCCATCTGGACCGCATGAAGCGGCACGGCGTGAACTACGTGCAGGACACCTACTTGGTGGGGGCCAGCAGCTGCGAGCTGGAGGCGAGCCGGGAGCTGGAGCCGGGCCCGGGCCCGGACGGGGCGGCCGGGCAGCTGGAGGAGTACGCCAGGAAGTGCGAGGAGGTGCTGCAGCTGCAGGAGCAGCGGACGCGGCAGGAAGAGCTGCTGGAGCACCTGGCTGGCGAGATCCAGGAGGAGCTGAACGAGCGTTGGATGAAGCGGCGCCGGGAGGAGCTGGCCGCGGCCAAGGGCTCCAGTTCCAGCCTGTCCGAGCCCGAGTGCAACACCATGGAGCTGAGCGGCGGGGCCGGCAGCGAGCTCCACGTGGAGCAGGAGCGCGTGAAGACCCAGCTGAGCACCAGCCTCTACATCGGGCTCCGGCTGAGCACGGACTTAGAGGCGATCAAAACGGATCTGGATTACACGCAACGCGCCCGCGAGGACAAGGAGCGGGAGCTGCAGCGCCTGCTCGAGACGCTGAACACTTTGGACTTCGCGGACACCCAGACGGCAGCTCAGATCCTCCTCCCCGAGGAGCGCGCTCCCGGCGGCCCTGCCTTACACGAGGCTGGGCTGGGGGCTCCCGTGGGCAGCTCAGACGTCTGGGAGGGCCAGGCTAGGGGGCGGTGCAAGGACTGCGAGGAGAACGATGAGGACTCGGATACAGGACTGAGCTCCATGCACAGCCAGGACTCTGACTCTGTCCCAGTCTGTGAATCGCTTGTATAGCGGCCTCCTTCCTTCAGTAAAATAAGCTCAGGGACCCACAGCGAAATCCAAACTTGTGCTTCCTCCTTGGCACTCTTAGAATACAACTATCCATTTTCACATCCGCCAGCAGAAGAGATCCTAGAGGGGACTCCTGTGATATATTTCCATTAGAACAAAAATGTGTGGGTTTTGTTGTTGTTCTATCCTTTTGGGGAGGAGGGGGACCACTTTAAAATCCAGATGCCAGTTAGTGCCATATTATGGTAATTTATGCAAACTGATGATGACCAGTTATCTGGGGATAACATAAGCTAATGGTAAACTACACAGTTGAAGAATTAAATGGATTACATCATACAATGTTGATTCTACAGAAAGACTATACCTGCATTTTGCTGCATAGCAACTGTTGGAAAGGAGGTTTGTTGTAGTAGGTACTGTAAGGAAAGAGTTGGGTTGGGGGGGGGGGGAGAGCTTACACTGTAAAATGCACTCATAAAAAGGAAATACGCTGAATCTGAATTGTGGCTTAAGTTTAAACTTGTTAAAACTAGTCATCAGCAGACACTTTTTAGTCTGTCTCCTCACTACTTTCATCTTTTAGAAAAAACACACACACAATGTTTGCATTTCATTCAGTATTGGAATTACCTGTTTCCTAAATTCCTGCCTTTTATTTCACCTCAAGGGTGTTCTTGAATGGAACCCTTAATCCTATATTTCTCCAAAGCAAATACAGTCCAGTATAGGTTTCTTTACATAGTCTTTTTGTTGGAATGCTGGAACATATATTCTCTAATTGAAACAAAAATTCAGCACCTTTATATTTCCTCAGTATTGCAAGTCAACTGTTTGCTACAGTATTTGCCACTTAAGAATTCAGTAGGTTCCTCTTAGACAAAAATAAAAGAAAAGTTGAAAGTGCAGAACTAAAGTTCAGGGTGATTGAAAAATTAGTAAACAGGACATCTGTCAGTATGTTTGACATGGATGCCAGTTTGTCCTAATATATGAGCTTTTGAAATATATTGACTATGGTTTTTGCCATAAAAAGTGATAATAAATCATTAAACTAAGAACTGAACAAACTAAACAAATATAAATTAGCATGCAGTATCAGCACTCAGCCGTGAATGATGCATGTTCCCATGCATAGATAACAGCACGTTTGTTGACAGATAATTTAAGAGAAGTTGTAAATATAAATGTTCACTAGATTAATTTAAAACAGTAATTAACACAGCCTGGTCTCTTCAAATATATTTTCTTTATCAGGTTAGTTGATGGTCTGCTGAGTTTAGTAATAGATAAATTACTGCATCAGCTTAAGCTACCATTTCTAATATGCAGTTCAATTCAGGCTAGCTCAGAATCTAGAGATCTGATGCCCAAAGTATAACTCAAGCTTGCTACAGTACAGCTGGGTGAAATAATTTAATCTCAAGTTATTCCAGTGAAAAGGTACAGTATCAGGTGTAATATGTATTTCAATTAACTGGACTGCCAAATTTTCCTTTGCAGCTTAACCAATGTCGGGTATACTCTTACAATAACGAGTATTAATGGTTTGTGTATGGGAGAAGTGTTACTGTAATCAGTTTAATGATAAAAGATCAGAGAATGTTCAATAAGGTCTGATTGACACAACATTTTAGAAGAACTCTGACGACAGGATATCTATGAACATTTGCTTTTAAGTTATAAGAAAGTATAAAAGTAGATGTGTCATGGACCAGGATCCTCAGTCTGTGTACATTTGTGTAGTTCAATGAACTCAGCAGAACTACACTGATTTACAGCAGCTGATATTGGGGGGAGGGTGTTTTCCAAAGAGAAGTGTTGCTCTTTAACAGTGTTACCATTGGGAATCATACTGAACAGCAGAAAAATAGCTACAGCATTAAATCAATTTAAAAATAAACTAGTAATATACGTGTAAGTAAAAAAGCTCTAAAATTTCCATTAATGCCATTATTATTGATAAATTATACTGAAATAAGTGGTCTTCATAACATTTTTAAAAGTCTGATTATAAAATTATGGTTTTTGTATTTTAGGTGGGCTTGGAAAATATTTGCATACCTGTTTAAAGCCTAATAAAATGCTAGAAGATGAAATAAGAAAAATGAGTGTCCCCAGATTGCAATTTGATCACAAAATATCAGCATTGGTTCTCCATAGCCATGCATCTTGGGAGTCATTTATCCCAGTGCAAAGTGAGTGATAAGATTTTTATCCTTACTCTGTATGGAGTAAATGATTCTACAAAGTAAAAGGCAATGGGGAATCAGCCCCATCATGTCTAACATCAATAGGCTGAGTTTGGAGATGTTTGGAAATGCTCACAAATGTACACTAGGGATCTAGCTCACTTGCAATTCAAAGAATTTTTATGAACCTAGATCTGAGGACTTTAATGGAGGTGGGGGTCAAGTCAAGAGCAGGGGCTATGTGGTTTTGCTATATTGTTTTTACCATTGCGGACGAAATTGAGCAAGTGACTATAGACTGCCTCTCCAGTGAGTGGCTGATGTAAGTAGTAAACTTCTCCAGTGAGCATCAAGTAGCTTTACGTAAGCTCTCCTATTAGCCATACCAAGCAAATAAAAAGGAAACCACATTATAGAAATAAGTTGCAACAGGCCTTGAATTATTATGCTATTGATACTCACCTCAGGTATGTTGTGAGCATGAGGCCAAAGCACCAAAGACAGGAAATTCAGAGTTGTTCATAGAGAAGCAAATTCTTCCTATTTTTCCTGGATCTGGAGGGCTCTTTCTGCAGCAGAATTATTGCAGTTTCAGTGCACAGGGGGATACTATTCCAGAAGCCTGTGCAGTCTGCACCCGAGGCATCTCAGCACCCACGGGTCATTGGAGGAACATTAGGGCTGATAGGTCTGGATTCTCCTGTAGGGATTGGGATGTTATTGCTGTAGATGGCACTGCAGTCCTGAAGTTACAGTAGGGGCTGCAGTGATTTGAATGTTCTTACATCTAAAAAAAACACATACATCTACTTAATAGTGTTTAAACAGTGGTATATGCAACTGCATTGATTTCCGTTTCCATCTCTATTTGCAATTTGTATTTATGCGTATTTGCAGTTCTCTGTCTTTAGAACACTATTCAAAAGTTAGTAGGAAAGAGGAAATTACTGTTTGTGCTGGATCAGGGTGCTTTTCCGTTCCCATCCTCTTTTGTGCTTGTGCATCCTTGACTGGCTACTAAAGACAAACGATGACCCAATGTATGGGTTTGAGTGGAATTTGGCCCCGAGTGCTCAGCCAGATCATTGAATATTGATCAACTGCTGTCAGTAATATAGAAGAGTAGGATTCTACCACTTGCTGTATACATTATAAGACCAGAGATATAGGTAAGCAGCAGAAAAAGTGTATTTATTACTACCTATTGACAGAGAAATGATAGTATTTTACCTCTCCAAACTCCATAATCTACCTGAAAGCTCTAGATTCTGACACTTGTCACTTCAGTTTTTTGTATCCCATTCTCTAGAATCCCATTTTCCATGTTCTTCCTCCCATGTTCATCTTACATGGAAGCATTAGAAGCAAGATTAAATAAAAAGCTAACTCCATTAAGAACCCTGCTTTAGCTACCTCAGTTTATAGCACTGCATGGCTCCAAATAGTCAAAGCCTTATACGCTTCTCCAAAGAACTGTTAGGGGCCAAGGCCAGCTGGCCTTTCTCAGGCAAAATGTCTTTGGAAGTCAACGGGAGTCTTGCCTGAGAGAAGACTGCAGAATCAGGCCCCAAATCTGTCACCAATTTGAAGATAAGAGGCCCTTAGATCTTTGGTTAGCTGGTATCACTCCATTAACTGAAATGAAGCACTCCCTTACATAAAATTTGAGTTGTGTAGTTTGGCTTTTAACCTTGACCTAGTTTCAGAAATCCACGACTATCAACATCATCAGAAAATGAACAAGGACTTCATGTCAAATGCAATACATTGGTAACACTTAATGCATGTTGTGGACCTGTCAGTTTGAATACTGCTTTGTAGAGTTATCTTTGAGGCCTTAGTGGTGGAGAGAATTCTTAATACAAAATGAATAACCTATTAACTATTGCACCTTGTATTACAGTAGCTTTTACAAGTCCCAGTCACAGAGTCCCCATTGTGCTAGGCAATGTATAGACTTACTGTAAGGCTCCCATCCCAAAGAACTTGCAATCTTAGTTTAAAACACGACATAAGAGGTGGTTGAATGAGTAGGAGTGAAACAGGATAGGGTAACAGTAATGCAAGCATGTTTGTTCATAGACTGGCTGCATGCACAATGCATTTTCATGATTCATTTTTAAACCATAAACTTTACCATTGTCTGGAGAGAGGTATAAGGCAAAAGTTCTTTCCAGGTATGTACTTCAGTTATGTATTCTTTTCTTTATTTGAACTGAGCTGGGAATATAATTCAGTCCACCAAAGCAGCAGCCCAGGCTGTGAAATGAAAAGATCTGGTGAGTTATGCCAATTATGAAGTTAGAATACAAACCTTTGTGGATTCACAAAGCAGTTGTCCTTTGAAGTCACTTCATATCATTGCTCCTCAGCTGGCACATCAAGTTGATAGAAACAAGCATTACAAAGCACAGAGAGTCTGCAGAGAGGTTGCCGTGTTTATGTGAACTATTACTAAATGAACTCAGAAGCTTAACTAAGGAGGTGGAGGGAATTTAAATAAACCCAAAGCAAAACCAGGGTAAGTATATAGTATAACCAAAACATCGTCACCCAGAAACAACAACGACTTAGAAATGTTCACTGGATTACTTGTTTAAATGTCTCACAGCCCTTACGGCCAGGTTCTTACACCCTTCCTCGCAGTGAGGAGTGCCTTCCTCCCATCGATTTCTCAAGGAGCAAGGTACTGCTCGGTGTATCAGAGTCTGGTCCTAAATTAAAGCCTTTTCAAGTATTCAGAATATTATCTAAATGCCAGTTTCTTTCAGCTGTACCACTTGGGAAGTTTTAAGAGAAATTCTGATCTAAAATGATCCACAAATCCAACAACACTCCTCTGAGCAGCATTTCCTTCCCCTTGTTTATTACTCTCTCTCTTCCCCTATTCCTAGCTCCCACTTATCGTGATTTATCACCCTCTGAGCCTGCAGACTACTCATATGAATAGTCCCATTCAAACCAATAATGGGACTACTCGTGTGCAAGATTGGGACCTTTGATTGAAATCTACTTGAAACAGGGACATTTTTTTTCTGTCACTGTAAAATAGCACACACCTATAGTGCTATACAAATGTGGAGTCACAACAGAAAGATTACACCTTTGAATGCAGTATTAAATATATGTCCTTCATATGTATAACATATCATTGGTTCATACAGTGTCTGATTTCTCCACTGCCTTGCCCCTTGTGCAGCTGTTTACACATAACTATAGGGATGGGATAGAAATAAGTAGCCACACTGAACATGCTGCCAGCCATTCTTTAGAAGAAATACTCTGGCAAAAGGAAGTCTTGGGTGGCAGTGTGGCCCAATGGATTGGAATAAGGAGCTGCCTATTGTCAGCGCTGCCAATGACCTATGTGACCTAGGGCAACTCATCTTTTAGGTTTGAGCTCTTTGGGTCAGGAACTGTCATTTATTATATGTTTGTGCAGCACCTAACACAATGGGACCCAACCTGGTTGTGGTGTTCAGACGCTACTGCAATAGAAAGGGATAATAATAATTTCTACTTTTTCTGTGCCTTAATTTCCCCACCTGTAAAATGGGGATAATACCCTCCTTTGTAGGGTGCTTTGAGATCTGTGGATGAAAAGCCTTTATATAAACAGCTAAGTAGTAGTGTAGTGTGATCTCCAAGGTGGTATTTGCCTTAATTGTCTTTGGGAGGGTTTAGCCTTTATTGAAAATACCTATTGTTTAACTATGACTCATAGGAAGAGAGCTCTTGTATATTCAGAACCTACTATTCATTGACTTACTAACTACAGAGTTAACGTGGCTTAACTATGTGGTTATTTAGCTTATTATTTGAAAAAGAAACACTTTTTGTCAGTTAAATTGTGCTTCAAAGCAGGTTTTTGGAATACATGTTAATAGCCTTAAGGAAAATAGTTTAATGTGTTCAAATTTGGATAAGATTATAATACCTTTGTTTTAATCTCTTAGAGCATAATTTGTACATGTAAGCAGGCTACCAGGTATGTATTTAATAATCACTGTAATCTTACAAACTTGTCATGTCAAACATTTTAACAACTTAAATCTGGAAGTGGGCCTGAATCAAAAAACAAACCTAAGCTAAATTTAGGGAAGTCTGGATCTGGATCAAAAATCTGTGCCTCTGGTCCATCTCTGCTTCAAATAAATACTTTTTTCTACATGCTTTTAACTTGTAACATTGGGAACATACATGACATTTTTCACAAGGTAACGAATATCCAATGTCCTGCCTTTCTACCACCAAAATAGATATACATTATTTTGTTTCTAGTTGCAGTTGAAAGGTCACTGCTATATGTTCTCCCCTCTTTCACAGTTTCTCTTCACTCACCCTACATTGAATAAGGCTCCTACATAGTTCTACTATATAATTCCTTCTCCAAGTGACTGGATGGCTCAGGGAATCACAAGTGTGTCAGTGGGTTTTAGACTGGGAACTGCCTGCATTATCTAATCCTGCACCCACACAGGCTTTGCCTACCCTACTTCTCCACAATTTGGAATAAACCAGGCAGTAGAGGGGCTGCCATCTGCTCTGATTCCACCATCCTCTGAAAGCACAGACCTCCAGGTCTTCTGCACCTGGGATGGCTGATCTGGTCTTCAAAATGGTGTGGTTTCAGCAAAAGTGAGCTGATGTGGAGGATACATGTGTGCTTCCGGTACTAATGTCTGAAAAAGGTGCAGGTGAAGCCAAAGTATATAACTTATACAAAACGTACAGGGATAACTAATTCTCCTGAGCATAAGGTATTTAGATGTGAAGCCAATAAGGAGTTCTGACTACATGATTATTTATTTTTGTAGGACTATTGGCTTCAAATGCAAAATGTAGCTTTTAAAAAAACAGTATCTCCCAAAATGTGCTGTACATTTTACAGACATACAAAAAATCAGAGTCCTAGGGTAACCAGATGTCCCAATTTTTATAGGGACAGTCCCGATTTTTGGGTCTTTTTCTTACATAGGCTCCTATAACCTCCCCACCCCCGTCCTGATTTTTCACACTTGCTGTCTGGTCACCCTACAGAATCCCTACCCTGGAGAATTTACAATCTAAGATGACAAAAATTGAAGGGCGAAGAAAAGGACTATAATATACAAACAAAACAGTCAGGACAATGTTTGGCACATGTCTTGTTAATTTCTTTTTTGTGGGGAAGAGGGAGCAACACCGTCACTAAGTTGATTTGTAACACCCCCTAAAAGAGGCTGGAGTGTGGTATGTTACGGGCAAGGAGCCCAAAGCAGTGGGCAAATCAAGGGAAATCAAGGGAGTGGGAAACAAAAGAAGTGGCTGGGAGGAATGAAGAGGAAATGACTTATGCAATAAGGGAGGTAAGAAATTGGGGAGTGGAGGGGAGAGGACAAAAGCAACAAACAGAGAAAGTATTTAAGTTTACACATGAAGTAACTAACTCCTGCACACCAACATGCCAATAAAGATCAAAGTTTGTGTTAACCATAGTTGCTCAACTGCTTCCATGCCTCTAAACATCACATAGCACTCCAAGGCCAGGCATCAAACCTAAAGTACTGGAATGGTATATTAAGTAGCTTCCTACCCTAGCCAGGTGAACAGGAATGTGAACGTTGCAGGCCAATGGCCTTGCTTGGGTTGCCATCCACCTAGATGAATCAGTAATTGGGATGCTTTGCAATATGGTAACATACTGGGAAATCTGAGGAAGGAGCATCACTCTTAAGTTGCTTTGCTCTCTTGCATTTGGTTCAGATACTTGATTTTTACACAAATAAAGGGTTTTTAAATAATGTGTTTCGCTAAATGATACGCTTGTATCTTAGCCTTCCCCCCTAAATAGCTGCTTTCTTGGGGTGTTGAGGGTTGCCTTGATGTTGTTATACTACCCTAACCCTTCTGCCTAAATGCAGTACCAGGCACAGTGACACTTAAACAGAACATTTAGCTTTTTGATGATCTTTCTGAATTTAATATTAAAGATTAAGGTAAAAGCAAATCCAGCCCAATCACTTAATTTGACAGAGTTTAGCAAAATAGTTTCTGTAACCAAAGCCAAGTAGGCTGGATTTCAACTCTAGTTGTTTAAGGTCTTCTATCGTGTGTCAGTGAAGTGATTCACCTTTAAATCACTTACTCCAGTTAATGGTCACAATTATCATGTTTTGATTATATTAATTAGACCTGCACTTAAATCCTCTTTGCATTTCACCTCAACAACCACTCCCTTAATTACTAACTCCTATAGCTTTAGAATGATGTAGGGTGGTTTTTTGTTTTTGTTTTTTGTGCATCTTTGTGGAATACATATTTCACTCAATTTGTTTTTTCCCCTTAAAATTGCCCAAGTTTTTTTTCTTTCTTTTCTTCCAATTCTTCCCATGTTTCATCTGTCAAATCAATATAAGGGTAAGGCTGCCAGTCTGGGTCTGGAAGCCACCCTCAGCCCCTGCTCACTTGTGACTTCTCACTGTTCTGTTGGCTGGTGTTCACATCAGTGAAATCCTT